CTGGAGAAGGATCCATGTGCACTGGAGAAGAATGCGAATTGTGCTTTTGTTGGGTGGAATGCTCTGTATATGTCTATGAGGTCAAGTTGGTTGATTGTATTGTTGAGTTCTTCTGTATCTTTGTTGAGTTTTTTTTTCCAGTTGACCTATCCCTCTTTGAAAGTGGTGTGTTAAAGTCTCCTACCACTATTGCAGAGTTGTCTATTGTTCCTTTTAATTCAGTTAATATTTGCTTCATGTATTTTGGAGCACTTTCATTGGGTGCATAAATATTTATTATTGTAATGTCTTCTTTGTCAATCGAGCCTTTTAGCATCATATAATGTCCTTCTTTGTCTCTTATGATGTCTTTCACCTTAATGTCTATTTTGTCAGAAATTAGTATTGCCACTCCTGCTCTTTTTTGACTACTGTTGGCTTGGTATATATTTTTTTTTCCATTCCTTAACTCTTAATTTGTTTTTATCTTTGTGTCTAAGGTGGGTCTCTTGTAGGCAGCATATTGATGGGTCTTCTTTTCTTATCCAGTCTGCCACTCTCTTTTTCTTGATTGGTCCATTTAGTCCATTCACAATGAGTGTAATTAGTGATAGATATTAATTGATTGCTGTCATTCTATTGTGGGTTTTTTTTTTTTTTTTTGTCATGTTGTTGGTGTTTCCTTGGTCCATATACTTTTTCTGTGCTGAGTTGAATTTGGTGTCTAATGCTTCCTCTCTTTTCTTCTTTATTGTTGGTTTTGTGCTTATTAAATCTATATGCTTTCCTTCCTTCTGGGTTTGCTTAGGGGGATTGTTAATTTTCTCTGTGGTTACCTTGAAGTAAACTATTGTCTCTACATCTTTAGAACAGTACATTCTATGAAGAAATTTTCTTGTTTTCCTCTCCATTTGGAAGTTTGTACCTAGAAGTTTTATTCCCTTTAATAGGTTAGTTGTTGTTGTCATGTGCAGATTGTCTTCCTTGATTCTTAGTGTACAATATTTTATGGCCTTATTTTGAGTTTTGGTTTCTGATTTGGTTTCAGTGTTGGTGTCATGTATCCTGATTTTGTTCATCTCTGTTGTGGGTTCTCTATTGGAAGGACTTCCTTAAGCATTTCTTGTAGGGTTGGTCTGGTTTTCACAAAATCCCTTAATTTCTGTTTGTCTGAGAATGCCTTGATTTCACCCTCATATTTGATGGATAATTTGGCTGGATATAGGATTCTTGGTTAGAAGTTCTCTTCCTTCAGTATTTTATATATGCCATCCCATTGCCTTCTTGCCTGAATGGTTTCTGCTGAGTAATCAGAGCTCAGTCTGTTTAATTATTGTAAGTAATATTTCTTTTGTCCTGGGCAGCTTGCAAAATTTTTTCTTTGCCTTTGGTTTTGGAGAGTTTGATTATAATATGCCTATGTTTTTCCCAATGAGCAGTACTTAAAACATATTTAGGCATTGTTGTTGTTGTTGTTGTTATGTGCCGTCGAGTGGGACCGACTCATAGCGACCCCTCCTTGGGTTTCCGAGGCAGTATCACTACAGAAGTAGATTGCCCCATCTTCCTTCCGAGGAGTGGCTGGTGGATTTGAACCGCCAGCATTGATCAAGTATTAAAATATCTTTCTAACACATGTTGGGAAACACATGCCATAGCAATGAGTGTGATCCTGGAATCATACACTCAGGTTCTAAATATCTTAGAAACAGTTCTGGAGACCAGGCCCAAAAGGGAGATTAAAAAGAGAGAGAGAGAAGCTGAAAACATCAACAAAATGTAAATACTATTAATGTTGATTATATCAAATAATATATTGCAGCATTTTCATTGGATGAGTCAAACTCTCCAAGATTCAGAAGTAAATTTAAAAATATGCACAACTCTCTACTAGTCATGAACAGGATATATACATAATTTAAGAGAAGATTTTGAAAACACAACAAAACAAATATTGCCAAATACTGATTATCAAGCAGTTCATCAAACAAATAAATGATGAAAGTGCTCCAGAAGTATCATTGAGTGCCAGAGATCAATTTTCATAACCAGTACTAAATCATTATTGACACGTTTGAATCTTGCATGAAAGAAGGACAAAAGTTCATATGAAGTTCTTTCAAATAGATTTTCCCTCCTAAGCAATGTGAAGATACCTGATAAAAAATGCATGAAGGCATTCAAGAAACTAGTACAGGCTTATCCCAGTTATTTAAATACAAATCTTTACAGAAAAAATATAACAATTTCATTCTTACCTGAGAACTAAGTTTAAAGATTTGAGAAAGACAAATTTTACTCATGGAGGCATGTATGGTTCCATAATAGAAGATAAAATACAATGCATATTTCTCAACGTTTAAACTGTTTTACCCAAATTCCTAACTTTATTGATTACAAACTGCACAACAGAATGCTCATTTTTGTCCCTAAAGAGACTCAAAAACCCTTAGTGTTTAGCAATGATTAAAGAAAGACTCAATTCATTATCTTTATTATGTATAGAATAGATATTGTTCAGCAGCTTAATTGTGATGAAATCATTGAAGAATTTGTAAGAACAAAGAATAGAAATGTTTTTAATTATAATATGTTAAAGACAAAAGATCTATCTAAAAATGAAATATAGTAATTTGTTGTAATATTTTTTCTGATTATAAAATTTTCATTTATGACATATATTGATCAGGATACAAATATATGGTAAATTTATTACAAATAAGAACAAAATTATTAACCATAAGATGTGAAAATAAGGCAGACTTTATTTGTTCCTTTATAATTAACATGTATCATGAAAAACCATCAAAATTGAAGTATGGGCCATTTAAACCAAAATTGGTCAAAGTCAATTTTTCATTAGGGGAGATCAACAAAATTTTGCATTGATTGTTGAAACAACTGAGTTCACTGACTCATTTCTTTGCTGTAAAATATATAGAATATTCTTTTTGTAGACAAAGTCATAGTACCACACCTTCACTAAAAATTCTGTAATCCTGTTCATCTCATTCTGCTAAAATGGCACATGCCACTTTTGTGTCAAATTACTAATATTATAGTAGCATTCAAAAAGAAGTCATGTCATGGATAGCAAAGACACACACATATATGTATGTGTATATGTACAACTCACATATCCCATTCAAATGTGTGAGCTAGCAGAGGAGATTATCAGTAATTAGGTCCCTCACATGCCTTAATCTGGCCCTGTGTGCCTCTGTGGTATGCACTGGAATCACATTCACCCATCTGCATCTTTGTCTCATGCATATCCTGTTCATGGTTTATTCAAGGCTTTGATGGGAGAACAAAGTGAAAACAACTTTGAAGGGAACTCATGCTGTCATGTTTTCTCATCCCTGGACTCAGATGAAGTTCTACTCTGACCTAGCTTATCCCTCCTCTGGGCTCAAGTAACTATATTCTCATACATATTTTTAATTCATTCCTTTTCTCATCCATTTTTCAGATTCTTCTCCCCTCTTTTACTCATTGTATAACCTTGGTACTCAAATGGTTAAGTGCTCAACTACTAGCCTAAATGTTGGAGGTTCCAACCTACCTCATGATGATGGTTAAGTGCTCAACTACTAGCCTAAATGTTGGAGGTTCCAAACTACCTCATGATGCCTTACAAGGCAGGCCTGATGATCTGCTTCCAAAAGTCACAGACTTGAAAATCCTATGGAGTAGTTATACTCTGTACACATGAGGTTTCCATGAGTCAGAATCAACTCCATGGCAACTAACAACAACTTTACTGTGGACAAAGTACGTTCCTGTCTCAAATTAACTCTTAATTATTTCCCTTTTCTTTCTTACCAATACCTGACAGTTGGCCCACTATGTTCCTTCCTGTCTTTTCTCATGGAATCCTTATTGCCTCAACTCCTTCCAAATCAGTGGAAAAAATGGAAGAGAACAGCTTGCTTCTAGAGCCATACCTAAACCATTGATTTATCACTGTTTTTCCACTGTCCTTCACTTCAAGTTCATATCACTCCTATTTGGTTAAAAAGAGTTAAGAAACAGATGTGTTTTAGCATACAATTGATCAGGATACAAATATATGGTAAATTTATTACAAATAAGAACAAAATTATTAACCATAAGATGTGAAAATAAGGCAGACTTTATTTTGGCAATGAACTCTTATCACTGTGGCATCACCCAGAAATAGTAAGGTTTTTAAATTGTGTAGAGTTTATACACCAACTCTTCACTTATTAATTAGCTCATTTTCTCGTATTTTGCATCTACAACAATAGTAAAAAATCTACTATCCAATTGTTTAGCACATTAACATCATACATCTCACAGTAATGAGCGCCAAGATGTGAGGCAAGAGTAACACTGACTGTGATGGTTAAGGTTATGTGTCTACTTGGCTAGGTCATGAATCTCAGTGGCTTGGTAGTTATGTAATGATGTAATTTGCCAGTTACATAATAATGTTCTCATCCTCCATTTTGTGATCTTAGTTGTTATTCTCCATTTTTGCATAATGCCAGTTTTTGCATAAAAGCCTGGTCTTTGGAACCTAACCATGTTGGTAAATGAGGAGTGGGTATATATTAATCTATAACAAAAGTTACTCTGTATAATTGTCTTCAATAGAAACTATCTCCAGATTATATAGTTAACCACTTAGAATTAATAGTGTAAGACTCTTCAAATCTTTGTAACAATTTACTATGGTGTATATTCAAAGAAAGGGGAAGTCTTTGAAAGCACTGTAGACTTCAGGAAGACAGTTTTAAGACTCACTTAAAACAAGCTTCATTACATATTGTTAGTATGGTTAGTAGGAAAAACTTACACTGAGTTAGGCTTTGTTTTATAAAACTCTATAAAATTTAAAAATTTGAATTATGATTTAAAGATCATAACACCTTATGTCATTTATATTAAATATTGGCTAATACGTTTGATACACTAAATAAAAAGGGAAACTATGTAGAATCTTTTAAACATTATCAAAAGTAACTGTGGAACTTGCATTGAAATTTAAAATGATATTACTTAAAATATGGATTGTAAGTTCTTCTGATTTTCATGGAAACAGATTTAATCTTGACAGGTGAGTTGTTTTTAGTCCATGTACCCCACTGAATTCCAGTTCCAAGTAATTTTCTAGGGAAGTGATAAATGCCATTCAGATTTGCTAGGCCACATTGGTTGAACCACCAACCAGTTTTGTTATTGAAGTGGCTGCAGCTCTTCACAGACTGCCCATGGACCAGGCATGCAGGACGACAACCATCATTATCAACATCTGACGTGCTAAAAGGCATTGCATTTTGATTATCTTCCTTTCTGAGGCCCCGGAACGCATCACCTGGATGAAATAGATATATAGATATATATATATATATATATATTTTTTTTTAATGATTAAATTTAAAGACACTTTTCATTCCTTTAACAGACCATAATAAGCCTATTATGCAAAATCATTGCATCTAAAAATAAGGCTTAAATTGTTTTTCTACTATTTGTCATGTTAAAATCTTTCTTCCAGATTGTAATATACCAAAATCTGGTGATGAATTCTTCAAAATGATAAGCATTGTTAAAGTGGATATATAATATCACGTTCACCCATCTGCATCTTTGTCTCATGCATATCCTGTTCATGGTTTATTCACTGCTTTGATGGGAGAACAAAGTGAAAACAACTTTGAAGGGAACTCATATATATAAGTGGATATATATAAAAATTTATATATATATAAAACCACAACCACAAATGGAAGTTTTGGCTGTGTAAACAGAATCAGATGGTTTAGACAAAAATAATGGAGCTCTGGTAGCATAGTGCCTAAGGCACTTGACTTCTAACCAGAAGGCTGGCGGTTCAAACCTACCAGCCATTCCTTGGAAGGAAGGTTGGGCAAGCTACTTCCATAGTGATACCACCTCAGAAACCCAAGGAGGGGTCACTATGAGTTGAGTCAGACTTGATGGCACATAACAACAACAGCATACTAGTCATATTTCAGAGAAAGTAATAATTTAGATTTAGTTTAAGTTAACTGACTTAATTTAATTAACTAATTAAAAGAATTTAGAGTGATGATTTAAAAAAAAAAAAAAGTTGCTTACACCTAATAGGTTTTCAATCCTATTGCCATTTTATATCGCTTTAGATAGAGAGGTATAACCAAAAAAAGCCACTGCCGATGAGACGATTCTGACTCCTAGCAATCATATAGGACAGAGTAGAACTGCCCCATAGGGTTTTCAAGCCTATTAAGTCTTTACAGAAGCAGGCTGTCACATCTTTCATTCTCAGAGCAGCTGGTGGGTTTGAACCTCCAACCCTAGAGAATTTCATTAGCACCAGTGGCCTATCCACTATCCCACTCCACTGATTATTAAAGCCACTTACTGACCTTCAATGGAAAGAAATGCCACATTTCAGGTGTTTGTCAGAGAAAATATAATCTTCCAAATCATACAGAGCAATACTTCTCAAAAGTTCTAATGAGAGACAATACCTATTGAACATTGCCTGAATTATGTGACCATTCTATAAATACTCTTCCCTGAATAAATCAAGTCATCAGAAAGATCATGCATCATATTGGCTTTTCACAGTATTAAATTCAATAACTTATTTTTAAAATATAATGCATAGGACTGTTTCCTAAGAAATAGCCTAAATAGAATCTCACCACTGTGTTTTCTCTAAGAGTATAGTTGGAGAGTATGCTTTGTTTTCTCTGAGAACTCAGAGAAATTTCTCTCAAGTTTTAGAATCAAGAATATTTATGGTTCTCATCAGTGTTAGATTACCCAATAAGCAAGGTAAGCATGAGCTTATTTATGCTTTGTTACTAATCTGCAGTGAACAATTTCACATTTTTTCACCACATCAAAGATTCTGCTTCTAGGTATGGCTGGTATCTGTGGCTTTCCCAACCCCACAGCCCCTTCTTACAGAAGCAAAGCCTCTTTTCAAATTTAAAGTCCCTAACAGGGACAAGTACCCAGTAAGCAAATTAAGTACAGGCTTACTTACTTATAAAGATGTGGTGAAATTGTTCACTAGAGATTAGTAGGTAAGCACAAGTAATTCTGTGCTTACCTTATTTATTGGTTAACAATCTGGCCCTGCTTTTCACAGAATAACTAAGCAGCTGAAAAGCTCAAATTTTGTATTTCTTTTTTGCTGAGAGCTCAAAGCCAAATGTGCGGCCTACCTCTACCACACACATGATCACTCTGGTTCTGTCTGTTTCTATCCTCATATCCCACTGACTATTTTTTTGTTAGTTGTTTTGATCGTATTAAGTGATCAACAAATAAAGCTATTTAATAAATTTTTTGGAAAATATGTAGCGTAAGCCATGGCAAAATCTAAGGGTTCTGTCATGAAAAAAAAAAACTTCTGACATTACAAATCTTATCCTCTAGTAAGAATATTGAATATACCAGGGACTTCCAGAAGAATGAACAAATTTATCTTGGAAGAAGTACTGCCAGAATGCTCCTTAGAAGCGAAAATGGTCAGACTTCATCTCCTGTACTTTACTCATGTTATCAGAAGGAACCAGTCCTTGGAGAAGGTTATCGTGCTTGGTAAAGTAGAGGGTCAGTGCAAAAGGGTAAGACCCTTAACAAGATGGATTGACACAGTGGCTGCAACTATGGGCTGAAGCATAGCAACAATTGTGAAAATGGCACAGGACCAGGAAGTCTTTTGTCTTGTTGGACATGGGGTCACTATAACTCAGAATTGACTTGACACCACCTAATAACAACAATAGGAGCTCCGGTGGCATAGTGCCTAAAACATTTAACTGCTAACCAGAGGGCTGGCAGTTCAAACCCACTAGCCACTCCTCAGAAGGAAGATTGGGCAATCTACTTCTGTAGTGTCACTATGAGTCAGATTCAACTCCATAGCAGTATGTAATAACAACAATAATTAGATCCAGTTATCTTTCAGAGAATCCTTACACAAACTTTTCCTAACATAGTATGTTAATGTTTCCAACCCTAAAACAAATGAAGATCAGATTTATAAAGCTACTGATAACAAAAGTCAATAATAATGAAAAATAAAAGTAAATGAAGTATTCAACTTCCCCCAGAACTGGGAGTCATCTGAACAGAACAATGTTGTAAGTTGGGGACTATCTATATTTTAACTCTAAGTTTTTACCTACATATCAAGATTTAAATTCCAGACATCATTTAATATCCCAAGCCTAAGCCTCTCAGATTTCATAGATGTCAGCCATATAGACAACTCTCCATGTTTTGTAATTTTCCTACCTCTGTGCCCCTGAACTGGTGGTATAGTGGTTAAAGCTTTTGATTACTAACCAAAAGGTTGGTGGTCCAAACCCACTAGATGCTTAGTAGGAGAAAGATGAGGCAATGTGTTTCTGTAAAGATTTATGGCCTTGGAAACCCTTTCAGGGAAGTTCTACTCTGTCCTGTAGGGTAGCTATGAGTCAGAATTGACAGCACTGGGTTTAGTTTTTTGCTTTGTTGCCTTGACTGCAAGCTGCTTCCTTTACCAATATTCATATGCCAAAAGGCTGTCCATTTCTCCAAGTACAAAAAAGCTCAACTGCAAATGTGTCAACAAAGATGCCACATTCCATAGAATGTGGATACCTGAGCTCAAATTTAGTGAATCGGATTCTTTCCTCATATAGCCCAGCTTCTCGAATAATTTGTTCAGCATACAGACTGAATATAATGAAAGGATACAACCCTGACACAAACCTTCTTGATTTTATTAAACCACTTGTTCTGTTCAAATAACTGATTGCCTCTTAGTCTACATATAGATTCCAAATGAGCACAATTAAGTGTTCTGGATTTTCATTCTTCTCGATATTATTCATAATTTCACACACTTGAATGCCTTTGCACAGTCACTAAAATATCTTTCTGGTGTTTCCTGTTTTCAGCCAAATCCATCTGACATCAGTAGTGTTATCCCTCATTTCATATCTTCTTCTGAATCCAGTTTTAATTTCTGGCTGTTATCTGTTTACAGATTTCTGCCACTATTTTTGAATTATTTTCAACAAAATTTTAATTGAGGATGATACTAATGATGTTGTTTGATAATTTTCTCATTCTGTTGGATCATCTTTCTTTGGAATGGACCCAAATATGACTCTGTTCAGTCAACTGACCAGGTAACTATAATCCAAATTTCTTGGCATAGACAAGTGATCACTTCTAGTGTTACATCTGTATGTTGAAACATCTCAGTTGGTATTCTATCAGTTTCTGGAGCTTTGTTTTTTGTCAATGCCTTCAGTGCAGCTTGGACGTCTTCCTTAGGTGCCATTGGTTCTTGATCATATGGTACCCCCTGAAATGATTGAACATCACAAATTCTTTTTGGTATGTGACTCTGTATTCCTTCTGTCTTCTTTTGATTCTTCCTATATCATTCAATATTTTGCCCATAGAATCCTTCAATATTGCAACTCAAGCCTTGAATTTTTTCTTCAGTTCTTTCAACTTGAGAAATGTTCAATGTGTTCTTCCCTGAGATTACATATGGAAAATTGTAAAGATATAAAGTACCTCAAAATCAAGACATGGTACAGTGATCACAGGACAGTTTCAAAATCCAAGACATGGTCAATTTTCTCAGTTTTGTTATTAATAAAAAACAAAACTCACTGCCATCGAGTCAGTTCTGACTCATAGTGACCCCAATTGGGTTTCCTAGGTTGCAAATCTTTACAGAAGCAGACTGCCTCATCTTTCTTTCACAGAATGGCTGGTGGGTTCAAACTTCTGACCTTTTTGTTAGCAGCTGAATACCTTAACCACTGCACCACCGGAGCTCCTTACTATTTATGTTATCACATACATGTCATATGTTAAAAGAAAAGCATTTTATCTTCACTTTGTATTGAGTCAGTTATACTTAAATTTTAGGAGTAAAACCTTACCAGCATTTCCTGAATACCGTCCTAAATGCATTTTAAAAAATCTTGTTTCATCCTCTAGCCAAAAATTATCATATGATGCATATGCTGATGTATCATCTTCAGATTCCAAAGCCACATACAGCATAAAACTGGTATTTTTCTGATTTACAATATAAAAAATCTTTTTCAATCCTAGCCAAAATTCTCCTGTAAAAGAAGATACTTTGTTTTAATATATTTTAATACAAATTAGAATAGCTCTTTATTATTGAGTGTTTGATGTTGCTTAAACTAGGAATTTTAATGTTTCAGAAAAGACCAAAATGGATGTCAGAAGAGACTCTGAAACTTTCTCTTGAAAGTAAAGTAGCTAAAACAAATGGAGGAATTGATTAAATAAAAGATCTGAACAGAAGATTTCAAAGGGCAGCTCAAGAAGACAAAGTAAAATATTATAATGAATGTACAAAGACCTAGAGTTAGAACACCAAAATGGAAGAATACACTCAGCATTTCTCAAGCTGAAAGAACTGAAGAAAAATATCAAGCCTTGAGTTGCGATATTGAAGGATACTATGGTCAAAATATTGAGTGATGCAGGAAGCATCAAAAGAACATTAATGGACAGGGTTGGCAGACAATGGGCCTCTCGAAGAGTATGAAGGGATGGACACTGGGAGGAGGTAACTATGGGGAGGAAGTGGGAGG